GGCTGAGGACCCGAGTCGTTCTCCTGTCAGGTGTGGGCGCCCTGGCAGTATCCTAGTCCATCCACTTCGGAGGTTAGGAAGTGGTCGATGTCCCTCTTCCCGTAAAACCTAGCCATGGGAGACAACAGGTCTACGGGTTATAAGCTCACATCTCAATTGCCGTAGAACACGAGCGCCACGCATTGTCTCTGACGGTGGGATGGCACCTCCGGGTGTTCAATGATTTGCTACTGCCCGCCTCAAACCAGACAGCCCCTGGTCGAATTGGTGCAAACCCGCCAAAGCCCAACTGCATCTGGCCGTGGTCGCAGGTGCGTATCCTACCACGGTCGCAAAACATATATAAATCGTTCCAGTACCTCCAAGGCTGCGTGTGACGGCCATCAAGCACATCCCTATCTGTCTCTGCAATCACATTCCCTGCTGGATCTGCTCCCCACTGTCTTGCGGATCAGGCTATTGAGCCAAAGGCTCCGGGCGGAGTCCCTCAAGCAAACCTCCAAACCACCCACTGCCTTGTGGGTCAGGCTATTGAGCCAAATGCTCCGGGTGGAGTCCCTCAAGCAAACCTCCGAAGCACAACGACCATCTCGCGTGCGATTGCCCTCCAATGCAATCGTAAGCCTGCGCACAAAACACTCAGCATCGGGTGCTGGAACGTGCGCACACTACTGGTCCGGAACTCCAGTGAGCGCCCGGAGCGACGCCACTGCACTGGTCGCGATGGAGTTGGCGCATTACCACATCGATATTGCGGCGCTCAGTGAAACCCGGCTCGCTGAGCAAGGTAACTTGCATGAAGCAGGTGCTGGCTACACATTCTACTGGGTGGGCAACGCCGCCTCAGCACCACCTGATAATGGGTTCGGATTTGCCATATCCGATTGCCTCCATGGCCAGCTGGTGGGTGAACCAACAGGCATCAGCGCGCGACGGATGACTGTTCGCCTACGACTCGGAGGAGATAAGTTTGCTACTTTTATTAGCACATACGATCGGACCATGTGTTATCCTGATGACACACGTGATCAATTCTACATTGAGCTATCCTCCGTGATACGGTCTGTGCCGAGGAGCGACCGACTATTTATGCTGGGTGATTTCAACGCGCGTTGGGCTTGATGCATCAGGGTGGACAGATGTTATCGGTGCGCATGGCATTGGTTCAGCGAATGCGAACGGTGACAGGCTGCTCTCACTGTGTGCCACTCACGGCCTGACGATCACGAACACTCGGTTTGCACTGAGTGCGAATGATATAGCAACCTGGACACACCCACGGAGTGGTCATGCTCACCTGCTCGACTATGTCATCGTACGTCAGCGTGATATGCGTGAAGTGCGCATGACACGTGTACTGCGTGGAGCTGAGTGTGGCACTGATCACAGATTGGTTCGGACCAAACTGTACATATATTTTCGTAAATCGATGTATTGCACTCCCGCCGTGAATCGGCGTAAATTTAACATTCTCTCCCTCGGTACTGTGGCGAAACTTACTGAACTGGAGAAGGCGATGGCTGCACGCCTGTGTGATGTTGACTGCCTAGCCACAGTGGACGACCTGTGGCACCACATTCGCGACCAGGTGACAGCTGCTGCCGAGGAGACCATCGGGCGCGAAAACTGTAAACGGCCTGATTGGTTTGATGATAACAATGCGACGATTGGCGCATTGGTGTCAGAGAAGAACGCAGCATTTGCTGCATATATTGCAGGCCCCAGTGACTTGAGGAAGAGTAGTCAGTTTCGCAAACTTCGACGGCGACTGACCCGAGAGCTCCGTCATATTAAAAATGCATGGTGGACGGAGAAGGCGAAGCAGATGGAATGCCACGCCGAACGCCGTCAACACAAGGAATTCTCCGACTCATTGAAGGCGGTGTATGAACCGAGGTTGGAGCCGCTGAGGAAGCTGATCGATGGTAGTTCAGGCGCTGCCTGCACACAGACTGCAGCCATAATACAGATCTGGTGAAATCACTTTGACTGTCTCTTGAACAACCGTTCAGAGATCGACTGGCCTACACTGATCGGCCTCAAGCAGCATGATGTGAAGACGAGCTAGCGGACACGCCGACACTGGATGAGACGCAGCGAGCATTTGCTCAGCTGCGAAACGGCAAGTGTGCTGGGGCCGACGGGATCCCACCTGAAGTATTGAAACACGGCGGACCCGCGTTGTTGACTGCGCTGCACCACTTGGTGCAACGTGTATGGATGGATTGAGGAGGAAGTGGCTTCTGAGCTGGAGGATACCCTTGTGCTACCACTTTACAAGGGCAAAAGGAGCAAGCAATGTTGCACGAACTATCGTGGCATCAACTTGCTGAGTTGTGTGGGCAAGGTGATTGCCCGAATCCTGCTCAACCGCCCCGTCAGTCATGTTGTGGAACCTAATGTGGCGGAGGAACAATGTGGATTCCGTTGGGGTTGCAGCACTACAGATATGGTGTTTGCGGCTCGTCGGTTGCAGAGAACGACACCAGCCGTTGTACTCGCTTTTTGTTGATTTCACCAAGGCTTTTGATCCGGTGAACCGCGAGGCATTGTGGTTGGTGTTGGGTAACTTTGGTTGCCCGCGTAAGTTTGTAAGTTTAATTGAATGTCTGCACAGTGGTATGCGAGCGAAGGTGCAGCTGAGTGGAGAGACCTCGGATGACTTTGCAGTTGTCTTTGGTGTGAAGCAAGGCTGTGTCTTAGCTCCTGCCCTGTTTAATATATATCTTCATGCCATGATGTCTTGTGCTTTTGATGCCGCTTGTGCTTACGCTGTTCGTGTGGAGCACCCTACAGATGGTGGGTTGATGAACATTCGTCGTTTCGGTGCGAGGATCTTAGTCTGTGACACAACTATCCGTATGTTGCTGTCCAATGACGACTGTGCGTTGTTTGCACACAGCGCGGATGAGTTACAGCACATGACTAGTGCTCTGGCTTCGACAGCGGCCAAATTCGGGCTCACCATCAACACAAGCAAAACTGTCTGTCTCTTTCAGTCTTCACCGGAGGTGCAATCTACAATATTGCCGCGGATCAGCATTGGTGCTGAAGTATTGGAAACCATCTCCCACTTCTGCTACCTTGGGAGTGTAATGTCGGCTGATCAGCAGCTACACAGTGAGCTGGGTATTCGCGAGTCGAAGGCAGCGGCGGCATTCGGGAAGCTTGAGCACCGAGTATGAAACAACCATCAGCTTACCATTGGGACGAAGCTGATGGTGTGCAAATCTATGGTGCTGTCTGTTCTTCTATACGGCAGCGAAACGTGGACGATGTACCGTCGGGATGTGCGATATCTCGAGCGGTTCCATCAGCAGTGTTTGCGACGAATTTTGTGCACCAGTTGGGGCGACAGAGTTGCAGACACGCAGATGTTGAGCCGAAGTGGAATGTGTGCGGTAGGCTGTATAATTTTCCTGAGACACTTGAAGTGGCTGGGTCATGTGTGCCATTTGGATTAGATGCGGAAACCGAAGCAGCCGTTAGATGGTCAGCTGAATATATTGGGAAACAGCATGTGGGGAAACCGAAGCTTCGTTACCAGGACATGATCAAAGTGAGCCTCTCACGTTCTAAGCTTGCTTGCAGGTCTTGGGAATAGAAAACAGTTGATCGGCGTGCATGACGCGATCTGATCACGAGGGCAGTTGCTGAAGTGCGAGAGAAAGACCTCATGTATGCCGAAAAGAAGGAGCAAGCACCGATGGGTTGTACTCTATCGACATCGAGAGCATGGTGCTTTAGCACATGCGGTCGCGAATGCCTGAGTCAGGCAGGCTTAGTGAGCCATGAGCGGGGCCACTGGGGGGCCAACACCGAAACGACGACGGGTCTGCTGAGAACGCAGGCAGAACCGGCACAGCGTTTGTAGGTACGCTGCATTGGATTTAGTAACCGCGTGCTTGCGTGCTGAATTTCTATATTTCAGGTGATCGCTTGTTATATTTGGTTAATACTTGCTTTGTTACCTCATTTTAACGTCTACTTTAATGATAATCTATTTACTGACACACTTCTCCTAAAGGAAAGATGGTTATTTTCTTTAATTTTATCCACCTTTGTTGCGTACGTTTTCGTTCGCCTTTTCTGCCATCTTGAACTTATCGCGGATATATCGATAACACATTTATTTTACATGTGAATTCGGTGAAGAGTTAAGTCGGCATATCTGTATGCTTCATCTGATTCACTTTATTTGATATCGTCATTTCAAATGGTTGCCTGTTGTTTGACATCCCCGATGTGGCTGCGCTGGTATGCATGTTGACAAGGTGCCTAAATGTCTATTAGCCACTACCTCATCTATACTGACTGCAGGAGACAGCTGAATGTTGCTGGAGGGGGCGGAGTGCACGGTCCTCGTGACCGTGTTAAGCTCAAAGAATGGTTCCATGCACATGGTTTGTGTGTGGAGCGGGCTACGTCCTAAGCACTGCCTTGTGTATGCGCTTGATTCCCAAATACAGCGTGCTTATGTTTACCTTTGAAGGAGCGTGGGCTGGCTCCGTTGATGAAACGGGGCTCCTATCCACATGACTTCCGGCCTTATTCCTTCGGGTTTACACTGGATATGGGGTGTGTGGTTGGAGCTGTGGGTGGCGAATGGATTCTGACTAGGTCAGAAAACCGATGTGCTTTGAAACACCATTTTTGTGCGACATTTTTGAATGGAACTACAGCTGGCAATCGACACAGGGAGTAGGGATTGTCGACAGACGGTTTTGGAACCACAAAACAGGTTTCACAGGCAACGCCTATCACAAAGAGTAGCAATTCAGTGTCCAGATACTCGTGTCTGATGAATCCACTCAGGAATAAAGCAGACCATTGAGTCCAGGGATAGGTGATTGCAGTGCACACTATTTATAGACTACGGATGCAGTCCAAGGGATTGAAGGAGGTTCGATCCGAGATTGCGAATCACACAATCCTAACACAATGAGGCACTACAAAGTTTCCGTGATACGCGTCGGAAAAAATAACAGTTCACTACTCACCGACATCACGAATCAGACTCCCCAAGTACAAGGCAGACAATGGTGTTTGTTCAGCAGGTTTCAGCACTAGTGTGCAGCCAGCAGCCAACACAGGAGCCATTTTCAAAGTACATAGAAAGAATGGGTAATTCCATGGAATGATTCCAGCAACCACTCCAGCAGGTTCGTGTCTCGTGAAAGTTACCGTGTTGCCATCGACAGGGATGACTTTGCCATGAATTTTGTCCGCATAGCCAGCATAGTAGCGAATAACCCCAACTGAGAGCTGGATGTCGCCGAGAGCAGAGGAAAAAACTTTGCCATTATCGATTGCGTCCAAGGCCTATGGAGGAAGGGATCCGAAAATGGAGGATGATGAGGCGCAAGAACATGCTAAACGTCCATATTATGAAGATAACTGGGTCCACACTGGGAATCATTTGAGCGAACGTCGATGCGCCGAGGTAGGGATCAAAGACAGGTGAGGACATAAAAGTAACCGGTGCTTACAATGGAAACATAATGTAAAAGCTGAGGGGCGAAGTGGCAAAACTAGTGTGACATATGTGAGTCATTCAAGTCCAGCCGGAAGATTTCACACGTCCCTAACCCAATCCCAAGGTAGAAGTAATGGAGGCAGTAGGAACTGGCAAGTGTCCCGCTAGTGCTAGGAGTGTCATTACTATCGTGCAACAATCAAGGAAAAGTCATTCAATTAAGATGGCAGATAACAAGGTGACTGCACACGTGACAGCGCGTCAAAAGAAAATTTCAAACGAAGGAGAGCATAAAGCCAACTGCAATTTCAGAAGACTTTGATTGCAGTATAATTATGATAGAATAGTAATCCCCAGTAGAACATATAAATGATGCGACTGATTTAAAGATTATTGTAAGTTACTCTTGGGAAGCCTCGGTCCGTTGGATAGCTTAGTATTGACTGTAACTGTGTAACTTGGGAAAGTGCAAACACGTTTAATCTTTCGCTGAGAATACTAAACGCAATAACACAAAACCATTTGCTGTCCTGAAAAGTAAGCGTTACATGGGAGTTGAAAGAGCTTTCCGATTAGGATGGGTATATACGAGTTGAAATCTACACTGTTTTAAAGGATCGTTATAACATAGAAGGCAGCCTATGGGGTGTGTAAATCAATACTTCATAACCCGTATAAAGTCATTGCGCATTGGTCGCGGATCGTATCGTCGTGCACTCCTTACAGTCATGAGTAGAGCGAAGTGATCTAAATCTATTTGGACTCGCCAAAAAGTCATCGGAAGTTAACGTTTCCACACGGATGATGGGGTGGAGCAGGATGTCTTGAGTCAGAGGCACCGATAAACTTTTCTATGCTGAAGCCTGCCAAGTAGTAGTTAAACGCACGCATAAGTGACTAATCATAGCAGGATAATATATCGAGAAATTAATGCAGTTGCCACTTTCTCAAATGTGCGAATTACACACCAGTCCGGGGACTTTAAGAAATAGTTCCCCGACTGGCCTGAAAGCCTCGAATATGATACGTTTGTGAACGTAGGTAATCATTCACAGAACAGACACAGAGGCACCAAAATCACGGAAATTAAACTAACGTGTTATCTACAGTTTTCATGAAAAGAAATCGTATTGTTTAGCTGTCACTTCATACATCCACTTCAGTCCTTCTTCGTTACTTTCAAGAGCAGAAGCAGTAAAGACTCGAATGTAAACATGTAAACATGCACACTAATCTTCCAGTGACTTCGGTTACGCAAGGCACCAAGCGTTTCTAGTCATCAGCAGTGTCTTCAACCTTGAATCTCCAAACAGGCATGCACATGGACTTAACGGAGGCCAGACGCGAAATGTCATGCGCTGTCGACAAGTGTGGTTTCCCTCAGATCAATCCTACACGAGCAAATAAGACGCGCGGTGCGATAAACGCTTTGGTGACATGTGGAGAAAAAAAACCGAAACAGCGCAATAGGCGCGGTAAAACAAGGTAGATGAAGGGAAGTTACATATTACCCAAGATACGATATCGATGTGGACTCGGCGTCACTCTACCACACACGAGCGATTCCCCACAACCATTATCGAAGACCGAAAAGTCGGAGCATGTCATCTAGGTGAATTTGAAAGGACTCATTTTCATTCACGCTGCCCTTACATAAGAGGGATGTTCCACTGACGCGACAACAGCAAACTGGCTATGGCAATACGAAGAGAAATGATTTTTTCAACGATGCCACCCGCGGAAATGTAGGTTTCCAGACAGACAAAGCCATTCACTCGTTCAAGCTATGAACCTTCAAGAGTGAGCGCAGGAACAAGTGTTCGCCAATTATGGAGCAGCATATAAAACTTCGAGAGCGCGAAGCACATGCCGTGTCTAGATGCTGCAATCACTAAACGGTTCAGAATGGCTTGCACACTCTGCGGGTCGTCCCGACCTTGCACACTGGCCTAGAAAAAGCTCAGGCCGAAAAATTGGAAACTTTCTATGACTCACCAGATGACAACACCAGACACAAAAATGAAAAGGAAAGGCAACCTGAGACACCTTTGTCGTACACTTCCACTCCGTCATACATGGGTGTACAGTGAGCAAATAAACTTTTTCTTGATTCCGTTCTTGTTAAAGAAACCAAGCAAAAGAGCCTATGATGGATCGTCGCCATTTGGCCCTACATAGCAGCGCTACATAGAATCATCAGTTAAATTCAACTCAAGAAGTGAACCCGGTTGGGATCTCATTGATTTGTATCAATTAGCATATCCTAGATTGTTGATTTGCTCCAATGTGTTTAGTAGCTTCGCTTCGCCCTTATTTGTACTGCAGTATTCCGCATGCATACGATTCTGTTCTTATTCAGCGCGTATTCGCGTTCCCATCTGCGGTCGTGGGATTTGAGCAGTGACTCCGCGGCGACACATATTTTAGCGATGGAGTTTACCATTGACAAGGGCAATTGCTGCTGAAGATCTGAACACGGTTTTAGTACAGTAGCAAAAATAATTCGAGGCATCTCAGCTGCCATTGATCGAGACTCTCACTCGACAACCGACTGTCCAATCACGCTCAACCCAAAGCACACACAGAACTTCCGTTGATGCAGTACTCATCAGTGTCACAGAGTTTATTTTCAATCACGAATCAGGATTGGTTTTTGACATGCGGTTCAAACGTTATGAGGATATCTTGAAAGTGGAACTGACAAGCTGCTGCTGAGGAAGTTTGGAAGTATAAAACCCGAAAGGTATGTTAATATCATTCTGCCGAAAGACGCACATGACTTTGATTTTGATGAAACGGTTGCCCGCCTAACAAATATTTAGCGATCAGTCCTCGTTGTTCAGTAGTCGGTAAAACTGTTTGAAGCTACGCAAGTGAGACCCTGACAGTCTCATCGCTTATGTGGCAATCGGAGAGCGACAGTGTCAAAAGTTCAAACCGAAGTCTCTCACAGAAAATCACGTTGAATATTTGATTTTGGTATGTAGCTTACAATCTCCAAAGTATGCCGATATAAGAACCAGGATGTGGAGACAAATAGAGTATGATCCAGACGTTACATTGCAGAGGCTTAACGAATCAGTGATTTGTAATATGACGCAGTAGTGTTTGAGGAATCCAAGGCGAAGTTCGGTGACAACACGGTTCAGGCAATCTTGGAAAGACTACTACCCAACACATGAAACACCCATAGGGAAAAGCCCTACCAGCCTGTTGGCACTGCGGCTAGTGGCACTTAGTTGGGTGGTGTCCTTTCAACAGGCATGTGTGTCAAGGTCACGGAGGAGGACACAAAGAAAGCCACTGCAGGTCCGAAAACCATTCATGCAAACAGCACGTATCAGACGGAAAGTGCGCAAACCTTTGCCAGGAGAGCGAACGCCAACGTTATTGCTAACGTCAAAGATGGACGGAAGTTAGTCATCATCATCATCGACGGAAAGTTGGTCAGACTGCAGATTGACACTGCTTCAGACATTCCGATGATATGAGAAAATCTGTCATCAACCCGATACAGCAGCAGGCAAGAAGTGTTTCTGGTTCCGAGCTGTTTTTGTTGGAGAAAGTTCACTCTGATTACCGACCACAAACCCTTGCTGGCAATTTTCGGCTCAAAGTCAAAGGTATACATGACGAATAGGCTATAGCGCTGGTCTACAACACTGCTGGACTATTACAATGAAGTGAAACATGTCTCTACGGAAAGTATTAGTCAAACATGCACTCTCTCGTTTGTTGACGAACGTACCAAGCCAGGTGGAAGATACCATAATTGCCTCGATCTCGATGGAGACTGAAGTAAAAGGAGTGGTAGCGTAAAGGTTCCAAAATCGACTCGTGACTTTCGAAATGGTACACGATGTGACGATAGAGGATCCCGTCTTACTCCAGGCCATGGAATTTCACATCACTCAGTGGTCAAAGGATAATTTGGCTGGCGAGTTGCCCACATTGTCCAGAAGGAAAGATGCGTTGTCGGTTGTGGATGGTTGTCTGCTCTTCTCGGAACGCATTGTTATCCCAAGTGAGTTACGCTGCCGAATCTTACGTCAGTTTCACAGAGGACATCCTAGTATCAACAGGATTAAAATGACCACGTGAAGGTTTGTATACTGGTCAAATATTGTTTTAGAAATAGAACACTTAGGCGAGTCATGTCGCAAGTACGCCACTGTCAACAAAGCCACCAGAGGAGCAAATTTGTCCTCCTGGCTACTAGCAAGAAGACCATGGGAGCGCACCCATGCATGTTTCTTTGATCTTGTAGATGGGCAGCAGCATCTCATCGTAGTCGATTCATTTAGCAAACGGTTCGAGGTTATGCGTATGGACCAAACTACTAGTGGTGCTACCATAAACGTCCTGAGGCTGTTGCTCAGCCACCATGAAGATCCCGAGATGTTGGTCACAGTCGGTGGCTGGGTGGTTTGCACGTCTGGTATGAAATCATAAGGTCACCGGCTCGAATCCTTGTAGGGACGGGCGTCCTCGCGTTAAATCCAGCCCACGCGCGACTGGTGGTGGTCGCGCGGCAGCTAAACACCCCTACAGCGTACAGCAGACGATTTATTTTTATTTTTTCATGTGGCCAGAGACAACAGCAGTCAGTTCAGTATGTTCGATTTCGCCGGGTACCATGCACAAAAATGGCATCACATTTTTGCGCTCCCCACCGTTTCATCTGCAGCCAAATGGCAAAGCGAAGCGATTTCTTAACACTTTCAAGTGACTATTACTAAAGATGAGGGTAAGGTACTACAATGATTCTGGATATAGTCTTGTTGGCGCCATCCGGTTTCGAATTTGCTTGTCATTATGGTCAGCCACAGGACGCCTGCGTCTACAG